TAATAATAATAATAATAATAATAATAATAATAATAATAATAATAATAATAATAATACGTAAAAAATTTAATTTAACATTATAATTTTCAATTTTTGATTTTGAATGATAAAAATAATAATAATAATAATTTTTCAAAAAAATTATTTGTCAAATTATTATTATGAATTATTATTCAAACAAATGAACTATAATATTTACTATCAATAAAATAGTCGTGTGTTAGTCATATTAACGATAATAATAATAATAATAAAACGTTAGATTCTTCATAAATTTTTGTAACGTTGCACGTCGTGAATAGATATCTACACAAGTATTGTCGATAAATAAACTGTATATATTGTAAGGAAGGTTATCACGCATACATCCATTTATTTCCATAAAAGAAGATATGTTTTTTTTTAAGCTATTAACTTTAAAAGCGACATTAATTGATTAGCCAGATCTTGATTTATTATTTCTTTCTTCTTTTTATTACTATTATTATTATATTTTTTAATTCTTTTCTGAGACTTTAAACCTAAAAATCGTTCATCTATTAAAAAAAAGTAATAAAGCCGTAGTCGAATGTAAAAATAATGTCTTATCGCTTGCTCGACGACTGTAGATATCAAGTTTAAACTTTTAAAGTTGTTTTTTAAAATTATATTTTTAATACATCATCAATACAATAATGAAAAATTTTGCTCATACTTATTATCATTGTCATTATTATTATTATTATTATTATTATTATTATTATTATTATTATTATTATTATTATTATTATTATTACTGAGTAAATATTTATCACTATCAAAGCCACCGATCGGATCAATTGATACGTACTAGTTATTTTAATTTAAAGGGTAGTATGATTGAAAGTACCGATTTAGATAAATATCGCCGCCGGCAATAATATATCTAGCAAGCCACGAGCAGAAATTGTAGCAATATTCTCTTTAGTCTCAGCTCCCACGCATTTTAAAAATAAAAAGAAGAAATAAGAGTAATACAAGAATGAAAATAAGAATTCAATTTAATAAAAAATTTTTTTTTATATATATAGACACGGTAAATTAATTGTAATCGAGTATAGATTGACGTCTGGTTGATAATTATCACTACATACTTAAGATAAAAAAAAAAATATCGTAAAAGAGCCACACGTGATACTTGTGTTTGTTTCACGTACTTGTACCGGGATTAAAAAATTAAAAATTAAATCCTAGTTTATTTCTTACGTCATGTCCTGCTGGTTAATTAATATTACAATTAAAATTAATCTAGGCGCGGAAGAAATATAATAAAAAAAATAATGATATTAAAGTTAGCCGACGTTTTCAATTTTTTTTTAATAATTAAATTAGAAAAAAATATTTTTAAAAAATTGCACTAACAGTTTTTGAAGTTTTTTACAAATTAGAATTTTTTTTGTAGTCATTTTTTCAATAAAAAAAATTGTTTTATTTTTTAAATGACGGCTAACTTAATTTTTAATAAAAATAAAGTTAGCCGACATTTTTAATTTTTTTATTATGCTTAATTTATTTTAAATTATAACTAAAAAATATTTTTAAAAAATTGCACTTATAGTTTTTAACAAATGAAAAAATAATAATAATTATTTAATAAAAAAAAATCATAAAAATTTTTAGATGTCGGCTAACTTTATTTTCATTAATTTTTAAAGGTAGTCGACATTTTGGATTTATTTTAATCAATTAAATTATAATTTAAAAAAATTTTTTAAAAATTGCACTTGCAGTTTTTAAAGTTTTTGAAAAATGCAATTTTTTATTCTTATTTTTTTGTAATTATCTTTCAAAAGAAAAAAATTCTAAAAATTTTTAAATTTCGGCTAACTTTATTTTCATTAAAAAAAGAAATAAAAAATAATTATTGATATTTTAAATATTTAAACTAGATAAATATTTAAATAGTATTTCTTTGAAAGGTTTACTAAATTTAACGTGACGCAACTCGTAACAGCTGACGTTAAAAAATTTGTAATTACTGCATACCAATGTCTTAATACTGCGGTCGCGATTTAATAAAAAATTCGGTTTAAATTAAATAATAAATAAGTTGCGGAATAAATAAATAAATAAGTATTTATATTGTTGTTATTTTCACTTTGTAGAGAATATATTTGTTATATAAATATATATTATATATATATATTTATAAAGAAGAAGTGATAAAAAAGGCGGCTTAGTAGCGGCAAGATAATGAGGAGTCTGGAGAGATTATCCGGTAGCGATCAGGATTGTATCGATCAGGAAATGTATATCGACTTGGACGACGTGTCTGTGGACTCAATTACGGGTAAAAGAGGACGTCACCATGTCAGTGGCGAAGTAAGTGTCCATTTAATTTTTTTCTTATTTTTTTTATTAAGTATTAGCGATGAAAATTGGAAATTAATAGCCTGGTTTTTGGAATTAGAAAATTTTTAAGGTTTATTCATTTTACTTCTGTAAAAAATTATTTTACTCTAAATAATAAGTAATAAGGTAAAGTACCCAGTAGTTGAACAGGTTTCATAGTAAAACGTATTTGACCCTACTTTTAATATATAAAGATGTAATTATTAGTTTAAATTAGTGATTTTCATGAAAATATAAACAATTTTGAATTGATTGAAGTGCAAAATAACAAAAATAATTGAATATTTATAATTTGACAACGTTTTTAAGATAGACTATGAAAGGAGTAGTAGTTGAACAATCAATTCTGACAAGCCGCAGTAGTTGAACACTCCGGGAGCAGTAGTTGAACTAATAAAATATATGGCAATAGGCACACCAAAATTTTTTAACGTTTTATTGAAATATTCAAAGATTTATAATATATTATTGAATAATATTAAAAATAATACTGTGGATATTTAATATGTTCATTTAAAAATGAGAAACATTTGTATTTGATTTTTTAATTACATTTTTTATGAATGACAAAGTAAATTTTCAATTATAAATAAAAAAAACTCAATTCAAAACGTTCAATAATTTTTAACTATACTAATTTTTAGTTATAAAACTTATTTAATTTGCAGTAATTAATACAAATCACAATACTGATCACTAGTCTATAAGCCTCTTAAAGGTCAGAGTGCTGTTAAAATTATACAGTCCCAGCTTGTTCAAGTTCTGGGTACCGCTTTGAAAATTGGGAGGTATAGTTGAACGCTAAAATTTAATATAAAAATTATAGTTTATGTCTTTGCAAAAAATATGTATTATTTAGAAAAGACTATTTCATTGGGTGGTACAATTTTTTTCACTTAAAATGATGATACACCGTTTTTTTTTACTGATTGTTCGGTTTACGGTTTAGTACCTTTTTCATGAAAAAAATAGCATCTATCAGTTATTCTCGACATGTCAACTTTAAAGTTAACAAAAATGTAATTGTTTTGATTTATAATTAAAAAAACTTACCAAAATCAATTAATGTATCATTGAATAGTTATAACATGCGCATATTACTCATAATATATATATACAGATTTTGTATTACAACAATTCTAAAAGTCTGTTCAACTACTGGTCCCATTTTTAGAAGTGTTCAAGTACTGGGTACTTTACCTTATATATTTTTATTTATATTCTTGGTATTTTTTAAAATTTATTTTTGATAATACAAATTATGAAGCTCAATTTTTGATACTTGAGTTTAATTTTATTATTTTTTTATTAATAAAATATCTAATGAGTTTCTTGATCTTTAAATTAATCTATTGTACTGAAAATTTATTAAAAAATTAAACAATATAAAGAAAAAAACATGATTTTAGTTGTTTGATATCGTGAAAAAAAATTTTACCTGAAAAATGTTATTATTCTGTTGTATATAAATATGTTTATTATCATGACTCAAATTGTATATTTTTCTTCACTTATCTTAAATTGTTTGACAAACAAAACTGAAATTAAAAACATGTACTCTTTATAACAATCAAAAAATATTTTTAATCGTCCTTCAACTAATCAAGTTCATTATCACTAAATTTAAAAAGATATTCTTTATAATTTATAGAGATAAAAAAACTTTTTCACTAAAAATTCATTTTTAGCTATTTTTTTATAAAAAATAAAAACAATTTTCGGAAAAATTTTCCTTATAAGAATTTTTATAAAATATTTTTTCCTTATTTTGCAATGAGACTTCTCAGTTACGAGTAAAATGATTTTTCCTCTGTAAACTGAACAGAATTAAATAAAATTTATTTGAAGCAAGAATTTTTTGATTAAAGTCATTTTTTTTCTGTTTACAATTCAGTGTAACTTTTTAAATATTAAAAAAATAACAGATCTAATTTAAATAATTCCAAAAGTCAGAATCCTGATGAAAATTAAATGAGCCCACATCTTAAAATTTCTATAATTTTATTGAAATATTATTTTTAAAAAATTAAAAGAAGAATTTTTATGTGTAAAAAATAAAAAAAATTATACGTGCAATTTTTTTAGTTCTAATTTAATTAATAAAAAAAATCAAAAATTTGTCGGCTAACTTTAATATCATAAATAAATGGAAATTAAATTAGTCATCTTAAGATTTCTCTAATTGATTTTATTAAAAAATAATTTTTAAAAAATTAAAACAAGAAATTTCATTTATAGAAAATTAAAAAATTTACACGTGAAATTTCTTAAAAATATTTTTTTAAATCTAATTTAATTAATAAAAAAAATCAAAAATTTGTCGGCTAACTTTAATATCATAAATAAATGGAAATTAAATTAGTCATCTTAAGATTTCTCTAATTGATTTTATTAAAAAATAATTTTTAAAAAATTAAAACAAGAAATTTCATTTATAGAAAATTAAAAAATTTACACGTGAAATTTCTTAAAAATATTTTTTTAAATCTAATTTAATTAATAAAAAAAATCAAAAATTTGTCGGCTAACTTTAATATCATAAATAAATGGAAATTAAATTAGTCATCTTAAGATTTCTCTAATTGATTTTATTAAAAAATAATTTTTAAAAAATTAAAACAAGAAATTTCATTTATAGAAAATTAAAAAATTTACACGTGAAATTTCTTAAAAATATTTTTTTAAATCTAATTTAATTAATAAAAAAAATCAAAA